ACAAATATAAGGTTTCCATTACCAGTAAACATGGCTTTTCAAAAACACATTATATTGAAATATTTTAGACAATTAGCTCCTTAATGGTAACTACTTCAAGAAAAGAACCATCAATATATTATCATATATAATGGAGATACACTGACCATTTCCATCCCGGTTACGATGACAACTGCCAAAAGAATCAATCTTGATATTTGCCCTTTCAAGGACTTCAAGAGCCTGCAACCGGAAGTTGCGAGCACCACAATTAGAAATAAAAGCAGCTGCTAATGCATTCTCAGTTTTAGGTTGCACTGGAGCCATTATATCGTACTCCGCCCAAGAGAAGTACCCAACAGGAACATCCGAAGAGAGGCTTGTTGTCATTACAATATCATATCCCCTTCTGAAACATGAGAAAGAATAATAAAGTTGGTTAGAGATTTCCCTAGAGAAAGATATAAAGATTGAGAGAAGAACTATAGGAGATCTAAAATTTAAATTATAACCACAACATGATCCTAAGGTTATTGTGTCTATGAGGCCTTTATGATTGCTGTTATTATCTCTATGATCTGTTGATAGTACTGATATATTGTCTCTTTTCATCTTCTTGAGCCGAGGGTCTATCGGAAACAACCTCTCTACTCCCTCAGGGTAGGGGTAAGGTTTGGGTACACACTACCCTCCCCAGACCCCACTTGTGGGATTTTACTAGGTTGTTGTTGTAGTTATTGTTGTTGAGGGCTTTATGATTGCATGTTTGTAGATGCCCTTTCCAAAGGCTATTTGAGCAAATGCAACTGCTTTTTTTTGTAACGATGGAAAATATGCAGTATGGAAGGCTGTTATTAAGTCAATTTATGGCATGGAGAGATATTAGGATCCAAAACCAGTAAGTAATCCTTATGAGGTTGCTTTGGGGAGACCAATAGCTAATTTCTAGGGACAGTTCAAAGACAACATAAAACAAAAAGTTGAAAATGGTAGGAAAGTCAAGCTTTGGACTGATAGATGGTGTAATGAAGGTTTACTTACAGATTTATTCCCAACTGTGATCAGTTGTGGTTTCAAATCAGGATTGTCTATGTGAATCTGTTAGTCATCTCCCGATGCATCGTAATCTTTCTTGGAGTATCTGGTCTTTATTCCTTAATATTTAGAGGGTATCCTGATAAAAAATATATTTTGGGTGTAATACTGGGTAATGCCACAAAATTTCAAAGGTGCACTCATCAGCTGGCAAGCACAGTGGAGAAAAGAGGGAAGAATATCTGGAAGCTTATTTCTTTGTGTATTGTTTTGACGGTTTGGCAAGAAAGAAATATGAGATATTTTGAGGGGGAAAATGAGGAGATTATAGTTATGAAGTATAGATGTTTACAATATCTCTTTTGCTGGCATAAAACGGATCTTGTAGTTAGTACAAATGAGTTCTTGGAGTCGCTGGATTCAGGTTTTGAGTAGACTTTGGAAGTATCAATTTTTGTACTTTCTTGGTACTGCTTACTAATAATATGCTACCTTACTTATCCAAAGAAAAAAGGTCTAGTCAGAAACTAATTGCAAGCAAAAACTTCCAAGTGAGATATGTTTCATTAAAAAATGATCACAAGATGAAAATTCAATTGTCGACAAATGCTGCCAAATGTGGTGAGAATGTTTTAAGTCTTTTTCTAGATGTGCTTACCCACCGTCGTGCGGTAATGATGTTGTTCTCAGGATAGTATTGAGCAGACTCCATTGACCGAAGCACGCTAGCCGTGCCAGCCTGTTGTGGTGTCCCAAATGCCGCATCAGGCTTCTTATCAGAATCCACACCAAAGTTACATCCTACGGCACAAGACTTCCAATCCTAGATAACGATCGAAGGAACATCAGTTTTTGCATATGGTAAGGGAAAAAAATCAAGAAGAAAGATGGTAACCGAGTAACTGTTACCTGCTCTCACCTATATACCAGTGGATAACATGGGAACAAGAACTAGTCATGATAAACTCAAGCAATAAATGGCAGTTTTACTGATTGATTTCTGCTCATTCCACTTAAGTGCTCTATGAAGAATTCAATGTAATGAAGGAAAAAAAGGTAAGAAAAAAAGAAGATACTCAAGGCTCCTCCCCTTATTCCCTACTAGTATATAAAATTCATGAGTATTTTTACCCATATAGAAGAGGTTTTGGAATATTGTCAATAGTCTGTACTTTATAAGATATTCCACTGTAAACATGATATAAGAACAAAAAAAAAACGAGAAGAAAACCCAAGCATCATTTGAAACAACAAATTTTTATCATTCCATCTACCAAAGCCATATGTCTGGAGCTCTGGCAGCTAACTGATGTAATAAATAACAAGACATAAATTGCAACAAAATCCATATAATAGTCTAAAAGAGATGCTCGATTACCAATTAATGTTTCCATGGAGAATTAGCTGCTACTACCTTTTAAGTGACCTAATGGTGTAAATCTATTTTACATCGTTAGTGCATAGAACTTATACTCATCATCAAAATACTCATCATCAAAATGGCAGGTCGATGCGCTAAGCTCCGGCTATGTAGGGTTCCGAGAAGAGCCGGACCACAAGGGTCTATTTTACGCCGCCTTACCCTGCATGTCTGCAAAAGGTTGTTTCCACGGCTCAAAACCGTGACTCACATGGCAACAACTTTACCGGTTACGTCAAGGCTGCCCTTCACTCATCACTAAAAAAAAAAAAACTATTACATCCTTAAGTGCATAGAACTTCCCAAACTATTCGTGTTCAACTATATGAATCCTCTATATCCATTCTGCTCTATTCACCCCATTTATTAGTAAAAAGAATAAACATATACAAGAAACAATCTCACCTTTTCGCCGCCATGAACAAAAATTGGATCTTTGTCAAAATCTCTAGAATACTCCACAGAATCCTCCCTTTCCAACCACTCCTCACAGCTCCCAGTTTCCAAATTCCGATCAATCTCACCACTCCTTAACACAGCCAACCCAGCCTCATTAATTTCCACTTTGGAGGTTGACCAAGACGACGTCGTAAACTGGTAAAATGAGTCAGTCCAAGAGTTGACTAGGTTGGCTTTTTCAGCCATGTCTAGTCGACCCAGAAATGCAATTTCAACTATAACCACAAGTGCAACTACTAGAGGTAGCCAATTGGACCATTTCTTTTGGGGAACATTTGTAGGTGATGATGACCCAACACCTTCAAATCTTGGTAATCTTTGAATTGGCACAACTGTTGCCATTAATAACTCAAAATTTTGTATCAAAAATTTGTTCTTTTTGTGGAAGTAATATAGCTAAAGATGTGATCTTTTTTTCTTCTTCTTCAGAGGGTTTGGTAATTCTTCATTTGGTGGGACAGTTGGGGGTGGGGTGGAGGGGGGGAGGTAGGAGTGAAAGTCAAGCAAAGAGATATATGAATGGGAAGGGAAGTTTGTTGGTCAATCTAAAAACACTGTAGGTCTACGCCACCATTGGTGTCTTAGTTCTTTTTTTCTTTTTCTTTATTTTTTGTATTTTTTTGTTTTTTGTTTTTGCCGTACGTTGTTGTCTCAGTTGACATTAGTCGTTTCCGTTTCGTTTTTCCAAGTGTTATTTATGCACTGCCGGGTAGTTTGGGTCACAAATAAATTACGGAGGAATTATGACGTAGCTTTGACAAGTAAATAAAGAAAATTATTTAATTACACTAATTATGAAAAAAAATATTATACAGCATTAATCATAAAAATGCAAAAGTAGTCTCTGTAAAGGGGCCTTAAAGCAACGATAAAGTTGTCTGTATGTAACATACGACTATGTTTGCATAGGGTAGGCCACACGCTCTTAGGTTGCAGCCCTTCCATGTACCTTGCGTAAATACGGGATACTTCATGCACCGGACTGCCCCCATTTTTTATCTTAATAATTTTTTAATTAATTATCCTTTATTTATTTTTAGAATCATTAGTAAATGATTAAATACTTTATAATTTTTTTAGATAAAAATTTTTTGATTAAATTATCCTATATTTATTCATGATTTTCTGAAATGTTATTTATTTTTAACCAATTTTTTTTAGCTAAAACGACATTTAGTACAATAGTTAAGATACAAAAGTTTTTTAAAAAAATGTAACGGTAATCCAGTAATACTAGTACAATAATAACAAATCTAGCATAAAGAGCCTTATCCCTACGTTGTGAAGGTATAGAGACTGTTTTCCATTAACCTAACTCAACGGTAAACTAGTAATAATAAGAAATATTTCCCCTAACTCTTTTCCTCAATCTCATTTATGAAATATCACTAAGCAGTTTTCTCGTTATGTTGCGTCTGCCAATATCTACTTAGATTGAAATTTATTTAATTTTCTTTCAAATTAATTTAATTAAGATCTTTTTTCAACCCAATTTAAAGCCAACACCCCCTAAGGAAGAAGTAATTCAAAAGATAAGACAGTGCATGAAGCAAAAGAGTAGAAATGATAGACTTTGTGGGCAGAATTTCCTATACTTGTGCGTGCAAGTTGGCTCGAACATCATTGTCATAAAAAAAGGTTGGATAGACAATCAATGGTCAAGATATTGTATTAATATCCCTGTTGTCTAGCTGGATCACTCGCTATTTCACCAAATCTAACTAAACCCTAATCCAACTTAAATATGAACTCAACAGCAACTCATGACATCTGATCTGGAAAAGTTGGTTAAGTAGGAGCAACTGTTGGCAACTTAAAATGAATCTGTTAATGATGGATGCCTATTCCCTGCGGACTATACATTAGAAATAAAAAGGGAAAAGGAATAAAGAAAGTCAAACAATTAGCCATTTCCTTGTGATTATCAAGTCATATGGAAGTTGGTACTCCTACTAAAGATATCCTTTGACAATATTCTATAAGACTACAACCACCAGCAAAAGATTAGTTTTTTTTAAGTAGGTACAGAAATGGCAGTGATTCCACCCACCCCTTTCCCACATCCCTAAAAGAAACAATGCAACTACTTAATTGACGATTCTATTGTCGAAAATAAAAGAACTTTGTATAACGTAAAACACAACAACAGTGATCTCAAACTTCATTTCACCCTCTAACCACTTCTCTAAACATATCTCATTTACAAATTTAATGGAATGAAGAAACTCTATCGAGATGAGCCAGATAATTCTTTTACTAGTAACTACTAGCTAAAAAAATGGCCCCTTTTTCTACAGCAAAACAAAACTCATCTTTAGTAGTTAGTACCTCCAAACTTGTCAAATGTCATTCTTCAAACACGGACCAGCTTGATGGCAAGAGCTTGTGCTTGTAAAGCAGTGTTCTCGGATATTACTCTGCACCTTAGCTGCCAGCTGTCATGCAAAAAGGGGACTTCACATCACCTTGGGGACAGATGAAGTCGTGGTTCTTTTACTAACATTCAAGATTTACTTCTTTCTTTCGCTGGAACACGGAGTTGGCTGTTCCTTTGGAACAATCTAAAAGTAAATGTTCATTGATTAGAAATTAGACCTTAAAAACCACTACTTAAGTTATGGACGTAATAAGAAGAAGTTGATGCACATTACTTGCTCATCATCTGCAGTATCCATCATAGCTGTCTTCAGTTTTTTGCTCCTTGAGTTTTCTTCGAAATCTTCATCCACAAAATTCTGACCTGAACCTTCTGCAAATTTTTTTAAAATTTCAGTGTCAAAGAAACTAACAGAAGTATAATTCCCATAGCTATGAGACATATCATTACCCTGGATTTCCTGAACCCAGGGAATCAAGCATTAAACAAGTTTTTAGAACTCTACTACCCTCCCCCAAGAAAGAAGCACATTCACCACCACCAACCACCAATATATGTGTGTGTGTGTGTGATATACGAGCAATGCTGCACCCAGAAAAGAAAAACTTAAGAGAAGTATTTAAACAAGTAATATAACTGAGACCGACAGCTATAAATTCCATATTTGAGCCATTTGCTGGTTATTTCTCCAAACATGCCTTATATTACCCAAAGAAGGAAGATAAAAGAAAAGGAAACAATACAAACAATTAACACTGGCTCCAAAACAACTGATATTTTCCAAGTTCTATCCTAATCGAAATGGTAATAGAACTGGTGTCTGCAAAAGGGCTACAGCAGAATATGGACAGTAACTGCAGAACCTGAACAGATATACTTTTAAACATTTATTCCATGCAGTTATGAGGACTCAGCTCTGAGTTAGTAGCCCTTTTCTTTTCAAAGTGTTTATGCACCAATCTTTTTTCTTTCATTAATCCATATTTTCAAATAAATTTACTCATCCTAACCTTTCACGAGGTTGAAAGAAAGACGGGGCATTACTACAAGGTTCAAATTACATCAACAATATGCAAATGTCAAACTTAAATAGGTCCTTTGGTAGTCCTTAACCAGATGAGGCAAAGGACAACTTAGAAGGTTTTTGCAGTTGTGGAAACTTAAATAGGTCCTTGGTTAGTCCTTAACCAAATGAGGCAAAGAACAACTTAGAAGGTTTTTGCAGTTGTGGAACCTCCACATTTCAAGTCTTGACCAAGTTCAAGCAAAAAATGCTCTAAAGCTTCCAAGAAAAAACAACACTAACATCCACTGAAACATGGAGAAACGATACTAAGGCAGCCAAAGCATCTGTGATATATTCATCCATCCTCTAAGTAAGAAATACCAATTGGAAAGCTTAACTTAAACGTAAACAGAACTAGTTAGTTGTAATTCTAAAGGAAAATGTCCCCTGCCATAGTCATCTAACAAACTGATTATCACACTGATTAAATAACTTGTAAAACCAAACATTGTCGAAGATGATTCAAGAATTTAAGTAGCAGGTCAATGCATGTTCTAACTCCACCAATCTTGACCACAGCCAGACAAAATATATACTTATCAAAGGAACTGTATATCACATGACCAATGCAATTACCTTATGAGCATACAAGGAACCAGGTTAGATGTTAATTATCAAAAATGAATGCAAAACCACCCTAAATAATGCCTGCATGAATGCTCGTTTATGCTTTAATTCGAGTAAAATACCCGTGGTACGGAACAAGCGAAACTGAGAGAGAAGTACAACAGAAGAAAAATATTACACCAGTTTGGCATAAATGATATGCTAAAATAACTAAAACCTTTAACTCCTGAAGTAAGAAGAATCTGCACATAGATGTTATAAAGTGCTTACCAGCAATTCTGCTAACTGGTTTCTGAAGTTCTGCAGCGAAGGGAAAGAGCAGGTCTGATCTTTCTTCAAATACATGAGATAAGGTCCTCTTATCTCTTCTTTGATTTTCCTCAGTACGGAGTCTAGCACATAATTGGAGGTCTGTAACGTGATGATACTCATCACCCTTCCTGACGAACAGCTCGGATTGGTCACTCTCAATATTGATCTTCGAACACCCATCTCGCCGAGCAGTAAACTGGAAGAGAAAAGGAAACTCTCAAGCAAGATTTTCTTTTGGGGGAGTTGGGAGTGGGTAGAAGGTGGAGCAGGGTTCAAGTTCTTCAAGCATAGCAGCTAAATGATAGTATATCTTATAGCTCCAGAAACAGAGAATTGTAATTATTGGTGATTTTCTGACCTGCTTAGAAGCTATATCACTGGGAGCAGACAGCTTTTGAGACAAATTTCTGCAACTCCTGTTCAGCTCCACACGACCAGCACGCAAGACTATTGATCTGCGCAATTGCTCAACAAATGATGCTTCAAGACAATCAAGAAATGTATTATGCTTCTCATTGGTCCATCCCATGCAATCATCCTGAAGTCAAAACGTGAAACATGCAAATCTGTGAATTTTCTACCTTTTTAACAGGTTGGTGAAAGAGAAACATGTCAATTTCAACCGCATTTTTCTATCAGCTTAGTTGCCATAGCTCATGATCATAATAACATCGGGGCTGCCCGTGATTAGAGAATGTGTCCTTAACCTTCCTGAAGATCAAATTTTCAAATATCTCCAGTTATCTGCTAAATTAATCCAAGAACGACAGCACCACCACAACAACAACAACATGCCCAGTATATTCTCACATGTGGGGTATGGGGAGGGTAGCGTGTACACAGACCTTACCCCTACCTTATACATGTAGAGAGGTTGTTTCTAGAGACCCTCGGCCTCAGCTCAGACAAGCGCAGTTAGAACAGTAAAGCAAATTGAAATATAGCAAAGTCATAGGAGAAGAGATAGTAGCACAACTAGCTAGTAATTAGACCGAAGCAGAAGCAACATCATATACTATTAGAAATCTAATAAAGAGACAAACAAGAGAAATACTACAGCTACCGGAATGGAAGGAAAGTACGCTCTACTACTACTAGCCTTCTACCCTAATCCTCGACCTCCACACCCTCCTATCAAGGGTCATTTCCTCAGTCAGCTAAGATGCGCCATGTCCTGCCTAATCACCTCTCCCCAATTCTTCTTTGGCCTTCCTCTCCCTCTTCTCAGGCCCACTATGTCCAACCTCTCACACCTCCTCACAGGGGCATCGGAGCATCTCCTCTTTACATGCCCGAACCATCTCAGTCTCACTTCCAGCATCTTATCCTCAACGGGATCCACCAAGAACGACAACACCAGTTAAGGAAAATTCTAGGATATCATGCCTACCATGGCTAAACTATATAGAACCTTATACACATGATCTGTTTCACGGAAAAAGTGTAGGTGTAAATAAAATAATTGGAATAATCCATGATACGAATGTCAAAGGGGAGTGGCAAATGGAGAAGCTTTGACAAGTCAATTCAGGTGGATATGAGAGAATCAAGCACATAGAAATGAATTAAGAGGACAACAAACAAAAAAATGCACAGGGTAAAAGGGTAGCTTGTACTTTGAGGCGTCCACAAGCAAATTTTGCATTAGAATTTTCCCTAAGTCTTCAGAATCTGCATTTTTTGGTGCATAAATCAGGTAGTACGTGAATTTGATCAAATGCTGGACTTCCAGCATCCCCTGCAATTCCTGAAGAATTCGGGTCCAGTGTTTTTTGTAACTTTTTTGAGGCACCTTCTGGTGCCATAATAGATATAAACTCTCACTTTAGTTATCAGAATACTTGGCTATATGGAAGAGCGTTTTCTAAAAGTGACAATGTAATAAATGATATTCTGCAGCTTTGACTAGTAAAAATGATTATCTACTACTTCAAATGAATGATTCAACACATATCGGTGCTAATTAGAAAAGACAATTTTGCCAGGTATGCCAAATTCTATACCAAAGATACAACAAAAACACCACAAAACCATTTTAAATTTAATATGAAGTAATCAACAGCCAGCCTTCTATTGATTAATTTGAATACCTGAAAACCTAATTAAAAAAAATGTGGAAGTCTCTCGTGTGTCAAGTAATGAACAATGGAAAATCTTTTCTTGAGAGGTAGCAAATGGCTAATCATGAGAGTAAGATTAAATTCATCATTAATCCTCTACTTCCTCCTAGTTCAGTTTCAATTTGCTCGTTTTACAGAGCATCTCATGACAAGCATTCAACAAAAGTTCCTGGTCATATGATTAACCCCCCCCACCCCCACCCCACCCATCACCACCACCACCACCACCACAGTCTCAACACCAAAGAAAGAGAGCGATCAAAAAGGAGAAGAATCACACACACAGGCACCCTGTTACAACAGGATGATTGATGTTTGTTACAACTCCACTGCGACTTCACAGCTATAGAAGTTGTGTGAGCAAAAATTGCAGTCTGTGCCTCTGTGGTATTTGAAAGCCTGAAAGGTGACATATATTTACAGAGCAAGAAGTCTATTTTTTAACCAAACTAATGAGAAGCACTCTTCTTTTCCAATTATAGAACACTTTACACCTTATTTGGGATAGCCGAGGTCATTTCATCGTACAATAAATCACAATTACTCCAATGCAAGATGTTTTATTAACACTATAAGAACCAGAGCTTAATTAGGCATAACAAACACCACATATAGAACTGTCAATATGATCTCTAAAAAAGTGAATGGTTAAGAGTAAAATAGTCTTTACAGTGCAGTTAGCTGATTAGCTAAAGTCAGTGGTCATTTAATAGTTAAGTTAGCTAGTTATTTTGGTTAACTGGAGGTTGTAATGAATGTTTAAAAAGGACCACATGTGGTGTATTTTCAGACTAACATTCAATGAAGATATTTTCTACTTCTCCAATTCACTCATATCTCACCTTCTATCACCCTCTCTGCGTTTCTCTCAGCTGGGATCTCTGAAGTTAACAATGAACTTGTTTGAAATTTCTTCATCAGTTCTACTAAGTACAACAACAAGAACAATAACAAAACCAGTGTAATCTCACAAAGTGAAGTTTGGGGAGGGTAGTGTGTGCGCAGACCTTACCCCTAACTCGTGAAGGTATCCAGTATGCAACGAATATCCTTCTTATATCTTCTCTAGGTTTTGCTCTGGCTATAATAGCACGTGGACTACAATGATGCAGACGGTCACCAGTATAAATTTTCTCTTATACTAAAACTATGGAACTAACAAATAATTAAATCAAGTAGGGTACTTGAGTTCAATGAATGTCAACCACTTCATTTTCAGCAAATTGTGATACAGACACATCAAAAAATCTCAAAAACTGGAAGAAAAAGTTACCGATAGGCGTACATAAATAATCAAAGATTCACGAAAATTGAATTAACTAATTAAAAAGAACATAAACAAATATCTACCTGAGTACACAAAGATACAGAAACATCTAATCAACTACGTAACTTTTTCAGCAATTTGTGTTATAGCTGATCGCAATTCAGACAGAAAAATTTAGTCAAATAGCTAAATACAGAAAAATTTATCTGGAAGAAGTGAAAATATGATTTAACCGTGGTTGCATTTCTTCTCTGAAGCAAATCATCTTTGGAAAATTCTCAAAATCTAAGCAAAAATACCTTTCTGAGGTACAAAAATAAACACGAAAAGATAATCAGCTAGGTGATCTTTTAGCAGATTGTGTTACAGCTGTTCACCAAAATCTTACGAAAAAAACTAAAATAAAAACTAAGCAAATCCTTTCTGAATATATCAAAGATACAACGAAAATTACAAGGAGAAAAAGTGGAAATAATATAATTACCGTGGTTGCATTTCTACTCTGAAGCAAATGATCGTTGGAATTCTCAACAGTCGGAGAAGAAGACTCGCCGGAATTCGACCGAGTCAACTCAGCGGTGCAACTCTCCGACAGATTTTCCGACAAAAACGGCGAATCCCTCCGGTAAATTTCCTCCATTTCTGGTCTCTGAAGAATGTAAGATCTCAAAAAATAAGAGGAAATAAAAAATATCTGAGTCTGAAGTTTGGGGTGAAGGGGTTAGGGACTTAGGAGGCGTCTGATAAAGCGGGGTATGTACGGTGGCGGGGCCCACGATATTCCTACGTGGCGACGCTTTTCCTCGTGTAGTAACATGGCCCGTCGCCACGTCAGCGGGAATGATAATATCTTCGGCCAATATCAGCCAGATATTTTTGCTGTTCTTGCAATGTAGGGGTGGGTCCCTTTGCACTTTTACACTTTTTATTTCTTTTTTCAAATTTTACACTTTTTATTCACTTCATCTAATATTATAGCGGAAAAATATTTATTTGCACACTATGTTGGTCCCAAACGAATGAATGCTAAATATATATTTAGCACTTAATTACGGTAAAGTAATATTTATTTATTTTAAAATTTATATTTTTAAATATATAAATTCTTGTGGTCCTTTTTTTCCCGGATCTCGCGCATAATGGAAGCTTAGTGCACTGAACTGTCTTTTTTATATTTTTTAAATATAATAATTGTTTGATTTCATGTAAATATCAATTACAAATAAGTACTCCTATCTTATGTAAAAATTCAAAGTGATATTAATTTGTTATTGTTGTTATTAATTTGATAAGTATGATGATAATATTCGAAAATTAAAAAAGACAATTTTATGTTGTATTTTGTAAGAGTCATATAGAAAATGGTTGTTATTAGTCGCTATGGTAGAAATATTTTGAAATGTCTCCTAATTAAAAGCATCATATGAGTTGAAGTGAGGGAGTATGTATCCTTCAAGTAAATTTGTAAAGTATCTATCGGAGTCAAAAGATTGGAAATAAAATTGAGGAATACCTTTTAAAACTTCCAAATGGAGAACAAAAAATCAAATTCACATAAGAAAGATTAAGATGAACAAATATCTAGTGAGATATTTTAGTTGTCTCTTGTCATGTCTAATGGTGCAATAATATAATCGGTAGCCCAAGACCCAAGTGAATCATGAAAATAAGTAAAAATAGCACGGGCTACCTAGTTTTTGGATTGATCATTAAAAAATAGTCAGCATTTGCAAAGTCGTTGAAACATAGCCACTATTTTGCTACAACACGGAAAGTCCATCATAATATACTGGAGATTGGTGCACCTGTGTATGAACCTCCAACATATTATGCTGGATCGGTATATTATACTGGAACTCCAGTATATTATGCTGGAAGTCCAGTATAAATATATTCCAGTATATTATGCTGGAATATTTGCGTAATTTTGAACAATGTTTTTGTTCAGATTTATCTTTACATGAAAAGTGGCTAAATTTCGATTACTTTTGGAACTGTGGCTATTTTTCAATGACCACTTGTAAATCTGGCTATTTTTGAATTTCTCCCTGGAAATAAAGAGAATCATGAGGCCTAAATTTTTAAAAGAATGATAATTTTTTTAAGTCAATTTTTTTTAGCTTTTTGAGATGTAAAATTGTTAATAAATTTTATATAATCGATTCCTCTAATAATTCCATTTCAAATGAGAGTATAACAAATTTATTTAATTTTTCTTGAGTCATTGTTGATCTTAGAAAGATTTTATCAATTATAATTTTGAATTTATTTTAGGCAATTGTTATAAAAAATTCTACTTCTATACTAAAAGTATTAAATATTTTTTTAAATACCTATAAATCTATTATTTCTGAAAAATGGAGCCCTCTAAATTTGCGGGCATAAGGCATGAGCCTTACTTGTAATAACCTTGGAGCCGCCCCTGGCTACATCTACCAGTAAGATACTTTTAGTGCCAGTTGTATTATGGAAGTAAACTATAAAATAATAGCAGTAGTAGAATATAATAAAGTGACCAAAGTGAAAAATGAGCAATTTCAATAATAGTGCTTACAGAAATATCCTGTTGTCATCGTCAAAGATTAAAAAAATGATTCAGTTACATTGTCGTGGATAATACTATAGATTATCACAGAATCGCATGAACTAGGTTTTGGTAAGTAGGGAAGATATTATTTTTATCCTTGTCAGAGACTCAGAGTAAGCAATAAAAAATCAAAACTGATAATATTTTATAGTGCTTTTTATCATATTGTATGTATTATAACATGTATTCCTTCATCCAAATTCGAGTGACAGTTTGGCTTAACGAAAGTTAATTTAGTTGGAGTCAAATCAGACTAGATTAATTTAATGTTAAATTATAATTTATACATTCAAAATTTACCTAAAGCACTAGAAAGTGCATTTTTCCTTGTATAAAAATTGATTGTGAATATATCTTAAAATTTTCTTTAAAGTCCATTTATTTTGGATACCCGAAAGGGAAAGTGACACATTTTGAGACAAATAAATTTAAATATTTATCTTGAAAAGACATTGACTATTTTAGATCTGATTCTAAAATGGACAAACATAACTAATTGAAACATAAAAATATTTAGGGGTCGTTTGGTACGAGGTATAAGTAGATATAATGTTGGTATAAAAATTTAATACCATCTTAATATTTTGTTTGGTTAGCAAACCTGGTATTAATTATTCCGGGATTAAAATTAGTACCGCGATAACTTATACCATATAGGGTTAGGGTAATTAATGCCGGAATAACTTGTACCTTCTCCTTAGAAATTATGCACATGACATTTTAATATAACATACCGAAAAATGGATAAAAAATAATATCTTCGTAACTAATCACATCCGTATTCAAACCAAACGATCCCTTACAATCATAAAAACGCTAGAAATTAAATATAAAAGAAAACGAGAAAGCAAAATAAAATGCTAGCATATGCCATTGCGATAGATTGAATCATAGTATTGAATATTAAGTAGAACTTAGAACAAACATGTCAATGTTATTATATACCAAGAATAATAGTAATATCCCACACTTGCAAAAAGTGCAAAAAATTAAATAGTTACACTTAAACCTCTAAAGTGCAGAAAATAAATGCTTACAATATATTACGTTGTTGATTTTTGGAAGTAAAAGAGATTGCTTTTTCCGTAAGTAAGAGAAAGGAACAATTAGGTGGCGTTTCAAATTTAGAAAATTTTGTTTTCAAAAAATAATTTTTGCGGAAAAAATAAAAAAAAAAATCTGCTGAAACTTTTCTTTGAATTTTTGAAGCAGACGCCTTTTAAGAAGATGATGATGATTGCCGTACTGAACAAGCCACCACTTGTGCCCACTGTCTCAATCTCGTCTTCACCATCTCCGGATCCTCACCTGTAATTCATTAAAAAAAAACACGAATTTAAATTATTATTTTTTTACAAAAAAAAAAAAAAAAAAAAAAAAAAATTTTTTTTTGACGGGCCAATTGCTCAAGGCAGTGAAGTCTGCCTATCGCGCCCGTGTCGCGTCCGAAAATTTTTGAAGGAAGACAAGGGGATGCGTCGCGTCAAAGCTCGCACGCACAGGTAAGTAATATATATTTTAACACATCTTAAGATAACNACAAGAAAATTCTAGAAGCTTCTATTTGCCTGGATCAACAATAGAGCTTGAGCTTCCAACAAACGACGTCGTATCAAAATCTGAAGCTACAGTAGACGAGGAAGAAGATCTAGATAATGTATAACCGTACTGCTTATTCACAGCTTGATATAGCTCCAAAGCAGGAAAAGTTTCGGTAAGTTTCGGATCCAAATCGGGCGAATCGAACCCGAAACCTAAGTCAAAGCAAGCACGAAGCTCTTCGAGGTCGTCGTCGGTGACGCTCTTCGATCGGCGACGATCGGCGAGCTTCGTGCAGTAATTTCCTTTTCGCTTGAGCCAGGCTTCTTCTCGAAGCATATCGGGAGACCATGATTTCTGCTTGAATAGCGGCGGTAGAGCTTCCCGTTCCGACATGACGTCTGCAAAAAATTACACGCGCCGCCGCGTTGGAATGAAAAGCTTGATTGAGATTTTATATAAGAGCGTTTAACTATGGAATTTCATTAGTCGGCGGGAGTGGGATACTACTGGGCTGGACTGAGTTGGATATTTGTTAGATCTTACGAGGATTTGGTACCTATTTGAATCATATTGGGTTGGCCTGGAGAGCGCTTTATTGGGCCCATGTTTTGGTACGCTTTTTATTATGGTCCACGTCATCAAAGGTCAACTTTTTCTATCATTATTCATAGTGTCGTTGCAAAAGATTTTTGTTTTGAATAGTTAACATAAATAATCGTTCATTCAATTATCAAACTGAGAACAATCGGTGAATATATAATATATGTATAATTAGTATATAATATATTTATACCGAATAAGAAAAGTGAAGAGAAAAATATGATCGGTCCTAAATTAAGATGACATAAATGGACTTTCATCTCAGGACTATTTTTCTACGTATACGATGTCTTCCTCGGCTGTAGTTCAATGATATAGAACAATATTACCATTCACATGCAGGGGCAGATCTAGAGAAAAGGATATGGGTTTCGTGAACCCAGTAACTTTTGCATAGACATTGTGAGCACGTGATTTTTGTTTTTGCGCGACAGTCGCTCCAAGAGAATAAAAATTGGTCCTGCTGTACAATTTTGGATTTCTGTACGGCACTTTGTTGATTTATTTGCGACTTTGGCCCATTTTTATTTATTTACTTTATTAAAACAAAATTCAAAAAAATAAATGTGTACGTGTCATGCATAATCTGAACCGCAACATAGAAAGGCATAAACAGGCCCCTTTGTCCGTAATTTTGTTTTGTTTGATTTTACCTGTTTGAAATATCTTTAGTGTGTGTGCAAATAATTGTATTGAGTGTGTATTTAATTTTAATTTGATTTTTTGGCTTAGTTTTGTTTTTAAAATAAATAAGAAAAGAAATAAAAATA